CTGCCACAAGCCAAAAGCCGGAGAGAGACGGCAACAGGATGGCAGAAAGAGAGGGGCGAGGACGAAGCTCAGTTGGCTTGATTTTTGGTGGCTTTCTTCGCCGCCCAAACATTTAAACGAAAATAAAACAGTGAGTCAAGTGGCGGACAAAGGGGAGGATTGGGGCATGGATTTGTGTATCAACAACAATAATAAAATTTATTACCTTTACCCTTTTTTCATATTTTTTTGTTGCAAATTCTTGGTCTCAAAATGACAATAAATCATATACATTTTTGTTTTGGTTTGTTTTCAATTTTTTTATTTTGCGGAAAGAAAAACGCTCCTCTTATATAAAGCATACAGCTGGAGGACTTTTATTTAATATTTTCACTTGCAACATTGCGGCACGAGTCAATGCATTGTTTGGGGTTGCAACAAAGTCCCCTCCTTCTTGTCTTAAAAGTTTTTAATATTTAAAGAGCACTTTTTGTTGAAATTTCTAGAATTCTTTCTCACATTTTTTAACCCCATTTTTTTATGCATTCCCCAACCTACTTTTCTGGAAAAATTTCGATACATTACAACCCTCTGCCACATCGGCAACATCAAAAGCATCCCTTGCAGCACTTGTTGCTGCATTTTTTTTCAGAACTCCCCTGGCTGTCTGTCTTTCTTTTCCCAAAAAAAATCCGTACCAATGTGTAAATGAAAGTCAGATTTACGCAATTGGCCTCCGGACCTTGTAGTGGACACTTGCTCTTGGGGTTGGGGAGTCCGACGTACCGTCAGGGGGTCTCTCTCATTTTTATGGGGAGCAGCGACATGCAAATTTTGTAGGTAACATTTTCGAGCGTGTTCTAATTTACAAGCGAGTGGAGTTTATAACCGAAAGGAACCAAATTCGAAGCCAATCACGTCACCGTTTGCCAAAGCCAGAAAGAAGGAAGCCAGGCCCGATGTGGCCCAAATGGTGGGGCTGGTCAAGAGGGAGGGGTTAGCACAGGTTACGTGCTTGTAAATTCAAATTTGGCTGCGTTGTGGTGCGGTGGTTTTTTTGGTGGCTCAATGTCTTGGTGGTTCGGTGGTTCGATGGTCCGTCCGGGTGGTGGTTCGTTCGCTTGTTTTCATGGTTCATTGAGCCGTGTTCCGTGCATAAATTAATGAAATATGAAAAGGAGCTGGATCGCTTCGGTTTCCTCTGGACCGCACACAATGTCCAACATGGTTTATTAATTCAATTTGTGCCTAAATTAACGTGTAAGTGGTTAATATTGAGTTACTGCATTTACCGCGACAACGTCAACCCACAAAACAAAAAAAAAAAATCAAGGGAACATGAAATGCAATGAGAATGTATTTCAAAATCATTATAAAGGGCTTATACGCTTACAGATAATACTTTATGAAATATATATTACGTTTTTGATATAAAAAACCATAAATTTTGATCAATGATAGGATCCTTTTGTTTTCTTTAATGATAATAAAAAGGACCTACTTCCAAAAATCACAATACCCTCTTTTCAAGAGTAAACTCAGATCAAGTAAATAAAAATCAAAGGAAAAAGAGGAGAGTTTCCTTTTGGCCTGTTGCGTGTGCCACTGCCATCGTGGCATATTGGCTTATATTTCTTTTTTTATTCTCTTTTTTTTGTTGGATTAAGCTTCGATTTGGGTTTGGTTTTTTGCTCCCGACATGCGTTTTTGATATGAGCCTCTAGATTATGGCCATGGTGTGGCAATAAAATGCGCAGAAAACGATAGCCAGACACGGATTTGGATGCCTAATGTAGAGCACTTGAATTACGATTGCGTTTTGCATTTGATTTTCTGAAATCATATCAAAATCAATCAAATAGCATATTGACAGGTCGCTGCCGTTTAAGCCGTTTGGCGTTTTTTTTTTACCTCACCTTATCTTTAGAGCCCCCATGTGTCGCGTATCTGTCGATGCCCATCTGGCGGAAATTTTGGTGACTGAGTTAAGCACCAACTTAACGCCCCCATAAGCCATGACTAATTGGCAAGGAAATCGCTTTTCCGATAAATATCATAAAAGCCTTCACTTCAAATGGTGTTTTGTTGGCCACGCAATCGCCTTTTAACGAAATTGTGACAAATTTTAAAACATTTTCCAATATTATTTATCGCGTGGTCTACGCATGTTGAATTCCCAATTCACGCAGCCAGTTGCTGTTTATTTAGTTTGCCGGATTTGTCCGCAAAATCGAACTCGAAAATCGACAACAAGCATTTTGTCTAGCCTGCCATGTTCGATTTGGCCTCTGGTTTATTTTTTTGGGGCCAGTTATTTATGGAGAGTGGGAGTTACGGGGGTTTCGGTCAATGGCAATTGAAAAAAAAGGGGGTTATATCTCTTAAAAGACCCGACAGTTCTCGATCTATATAGCTACAATTTTTGGCAATCTCTCCATTAACTAGTCACTATCAAGAGTCTCAGTCATGACTGGTTGAGTCCATTAGCAGCCACTTCTTGGGGCAACCCTGACATCTGCCAAGCCCCTGGGCCAAGTCAGTCTAGTTTAGCATTTGATTCATGGGGGTCCGCCACCCGCGCCAACACTCCAATCAGCAAATCATTAACAACTAATTAAATTATATAAAAGAGCCATTAATTAAGCCTTAAAACCCAAGGCGGCCGAGAATAGATTTCCTTTCACTTTACAAGGAAACAGAATCCGATCAACAAGCGGCGAACAAATAATGACAAGAACTTTGCGCTAAACTTTTGCACTTTGACACCCAACTGTGAACCCAAGAACCTCCCGGACCTCCACGCCTTATGTATTTGCTATTTCTTTTTTTATGATTTGGGCTTAAAGCACGCTTTTTGCAGCAGCAGTTGTAAATATTTAATAACTACATTAATAACAGCAATGACAACGGCAGCAAAACAGCACTAACAACAATAATAATAATAACACGCGCTGCAATTTGCCAGAGTTGCAATAAAAAAACTACCGTTTTTGGCCACGTTTACTCAGCTCTGAGCCGGGCTCAGAGCCAGACTCTGACTCGACCACATGGAATGAATGAATGTCATTAATTTGACAACAGAAACCGTTAAATCAGCAATTCAATCACCCGGTCAAAAGCGGATATCTACACGTTAAAAATCTTAAAGAATTCTATAGTTAATTAAAAAGACTAAGAATTTTAATATTTATTTAAAAAAAATAGGGTTTAAGGTTTTAAAGTTTGAAACAAAACCCTAAATTATCCTTAAAGTTGTCTAATCAATTTTTAAAATTTTCTTAAGTCTAACTTTATGTTCCAAGTGCATTACCAAGTGTTGTGACAGAAAATAGTTCTCGCTTTGGTTTCTCGCGGGAATCCCTCTCTTTCTGTTTCTCTATCTTGACTATTTTTGTTGCTGTTATTTTGTCAGACGGCGTGAGTCTTAAATTACCAACCTTGCCACAATTTCAATGCGCATTCGCATTCGAATTTGTTTGCGGTAATTGGCCTCTGAGTTCGCCATTTCCAGTGGCTCGCCAGGGGGGTGGATGGGTGGCTGGGCGGGTTGATGGATCGGAGGTCCAGCTGTTGGTGGTGGCTACTGAAACCGGCGCACCCACTAACAGCAGACCCACTGGTAATCGAACCTATAGGACAGTGACATGGGGGTGCCAGTAAATGGTTCAGTAATTGTTACTTCCCTTTTTGAAGCTGAAGATCTTTGACTTTCGAGATCAAAGTTTTAAGAAATATTTTTTCATTGTAATTTTAATTTTCGTATACACCCATAATAGTATTAGTATACTAGATCATATAGAGTAATCTATAACCCACTGTGCCTGGGAGTTCGCCTTTTGCCTTTCAACTTTTGTGGGCTGTTGCTACAGGTGTCTGCAGCTCCAGTCTCCGGTCTTCGGTCTACGATCGCCGATCTCTGGTCTACGGCTGGGGACTCTCGCTTTGGCATTCTCCTCGACTCTCCCCCGTGTCAATGACAGTTCAATGTGCCTCGCTGTTGACGATTGTTGCTGCTGTACTGGCAACAGTTGTCGCACATGCAAATCGTGACTGTTGTCCATCACAGTTCTCCGGGCTTTTCAGAGTTTCAGTATTTTTTTTATTTTTTCCAGTTTCTGTTTTTTTTGGAGTTACCAAACTTGCCAGTCAGTCAGTTTGTCAGTCAGTCGTCGGCTCTGTAATTTTTTGTCTTTGCTCTGTTGATTTTGATTTTTTTGGTAGTTGCACATGCGGCTGGAGTGATTTGTTTAAGACGTTTTGATTGATTATTGGTGCGCATGCGCCAAAGTGACAACAAAACTGCGACACAACCCGCCAGATCTACACAAGGAAATAATTTAAATATTTTTTTAAACATTTAAAAAAAGGAAGAATTTTATTTGTTGTAGCAAGTTCAAATTGATCTGTAAGCTCAAAATTAATTTGTGTAATACCCTTTTTTTTTGGCCAAGTCATTCGCCAAAAAAATGAGCCGCTTTTATTAATTATTCTGACCCAGAAATTTGAGAACAGAAACTGAAACCAGAAACAAAAGCAAGGTGGTGTTGCTTTTTTGTGCTCGGCTCGCGTTTGTTGTCAGGTTTGGTTTGAAATATTTACCACCTGTGATGAATAACGTTACATTTGCGGTGATTGTTTTTTATCCGTGATTTATCGAGAAGTGCGAGGTACCAGCAGATCACATCCATCGATGGCCATGCCCACATAATGCTGATTACTCAGGTGTCTGAGGTGCGTGCTGTGGCACCACCTCCTTCTCCTTCTTCTCTTCTGAAGACCCTTGTACCGTTAATTAATTTGCAAGTCGTCATTGTTGTTGTCGATGTTTTTCTTTTTTTTGTAATTTACCTGGAATTTGTAGCGCAAAGTGCACACCGGGTGGCATTCGTCACGCAATCTCTGTGTTTTGACTTTTTTTAAAATTTTTTTGGGGTTTGAATAAGTTTTTTAATTTTATTTGAACAATTTTCAAAATACCTTTTATTGGCTGGACATTTTTTTATTTACACGTCAACCTTTAAAAGAAAAACTCAAATGGATCCATAATGTCTTGTAAATGTTTCTCATTAAAGTATATCAATTTTGTGAGGCTATGAGCTTTAATCTTTATTTCTTGGGCTTGTTGGCTAACCGAATCTTGGATATATCCGGAGTGGTACGGTTCGAAATATTGGGCGAGACCATTGTGGCTCTGGAGGTGGGCGGGGCCCTTGGAATATTTGAGGGAGCCGGGGAGATCCTCAAGGACCCACTCTCTATTTCTGGTTTCGGCTTCGATTTGGAGGTCTTTGATGCTTGGAAACTTGGCTTGGCCTGGTTGCGACGTTTAACCGAAGGACTCATCCGTTGTGAGACATTTCTGACTGCCTGGACCAGAGAGTTCGTGACATTGGTGGTGGGCTGTGGGGTAGGTAGCATAGTGGATTCCATGGTCATGCCCTGGGCACTGATCGATCGACTCAAGGCCTCCGCCTCCTGGTTCGCCGCCTCCTGTCCATCCCGCATCATTGTGTTAATCCTTTCGCGTTGCAGGCGTTCCTCTACCATTCGCCTTTGCTGTGTGGAACGGATGTGCTCGAACTCTTGCCAAAAATTAAAGCTGATCTCTTGCGAATGACGGTTAATCTCCTGGCGCAGCTCCTGAGCCAGATCCCTATCCCGGGGCACCTCATCCCTGGAGTTCAAACGCGACATGACTTGGTGAAGGGGAGAGAAGGGTATATATATGAATATGTGAAGAAATTTTGGAATGGTGTTCAGATGATTTTGTTTGACTGAATTTTCTCAGTTATGCAATATTGTAAACTGTTTTTTTTTTTGACGCAGAACAAGTTATTTAGAATATTTTGATTAAAAATAATTTTTTTTTTTTTTTTTTTTTTTTTTTTATATTTTTTAATTAAATTAAATTAATTTTTTTTTTAATTTTTTTTTTTTTTTTTTTTTTTTTTTATATTTTTCTTCCCTTCTTTTTTTTTTTTTTTTTCCCCCAAAATTTTTAAAAATCTCAAAATATTTTTTCTAATTTTAGAAGAGGAGAATCAATTTACAAATCGTTTAAGGTATTCCGCTCAAGAATCTGATCAGTATTGCCAAAGATATGGGATCAGCTGGGAGTCGAAATGTCCTCCCATGCATTTTCATCATTTTCGAAGGGGACCCTCCAGAAAATTTGACAAAAAATCCAAAAAATATTTTGTGTCTAGGTTTTGATGCAGAATGATAGAGAATCAATGTAAAAATCGTTTAAGGCATTCCGCTTAAGAATCTGATGGGTATTGCCAAAGATATGGCATTCGCTGGGGGTCGAAGTGTCTTCCCATGCATTTTCATCATTTTCGAAGGGGACCCTCCAGAAAATTTGACAAAAAATCTAAAAAATATTTTGTGTCTAGATTTTGATGCAGAATGATGGAGAATCAATGTACAAATCGTTTAAGGTATTCCGCTTAAGAATCTGATGGGTATTGCCAAAGATATGACATTCGCTGTGGGTAATTATGTCTCTAACCTTGCATTCCAACCATTTTCGAATACAATGTATAGTTAATTCAATATTGGCCTGTAAAAAAAAGTTTGAAAAAAGTACACCTTGACTTGGCCCAAAGCCAGTGTTATCCGGCTGGCTACAGGTTGAAAATGTTGTCTCTAGCGAAACAAACAAAACACGGCACTCAAACATGACGTTTGTTGTCGGGAAGGCGATTTTGATCGATGTGCGTTTTCTAATTGCTGCCAACTTTCTTCTTAATTGTGGCAAGAAAAATGAAGCCCGTATCGAAATGGCATGAAAAGCACTATGAAAACAGCACGAGGTGGGGGAGAAATTGTTTTCATGTAAAGAATATTTGTGGCTTTCGAGGTACGTTCTCCCGCAGGTTCCCCTCGTGCCACACTCCCCTTTTGCTGGAACCCTCAATCAATCATGTGTACGATAGAAGCTTGAAAAACTTGGCCCAATTGTTAAGGCAAACAATAAAGTCGATACGATCGGCTTGGTCAAATCCATTTTGTTCACAATGAAAACAAAATTGCAGCCACTTGGTTGGGGGATCGTATTTTTTGTGGATTTTTTTTCTTTTCTGTTTGTTTCTTTCTGAATTTTATTTCCCTGGGCGTAGGATATCAAGGAGATCTTATTTTGGAACCCTGCTGTGCACTTGTCGAAGCCAAGAGTTCAATGCGCGGCTACCAGCTCACAATTTATCCTTTATGGCTTTTGTTTCTGAAGAAGTGAAAACAAAAGATTGTCATCGACGGGAAAGGGACTTGAAAAATGTTGGTACACTTTGCATATTTCCAGGCTATTTGGTCATATCTGGGACTCTAATTGGGTGAAAGTGCTCTGACTTGGCTTAGAAAGTGTGACAGTCAAAGCTCTCCCATCATCATCATTGTTAGTATCGTCATAATCATCATTATGGCAAAGAAGTCAAAAACAAAAGTCTTCGCTCAGAGCCTGTCAAATCAATATCTACGGCTATAGCTTATACCTGTGGCTATGCGGCTATATAACATACATCACCCGCATATATAGGCATCGCCAGCAATCAGGCGAACAACAAAAGCCCGGGCCGGCCACAGAAATATTCCCAGGCCAGGAAAACTAGAACTCAAAATCATACATCACAAGCAATTACCGGCTAAAATGCACCAGTGTAAGCCCCCTACGACCGATAGCTTTAGCTTTAACTTTAGCTATAGTTGCACCAACTTGCCAGCCAGTCGGCCAGCTAGCCAGCCTGCGACTAACCTTGGTCGCTAGTTAAAGCCTGAGCACAAAAAAAAAATCGAATAGTGGGCAGCTATTATTACTGTTGTGAATACTCTGCAGGTGTGAGGGTATTTTGGCTAGAAAGCAAGGTCACACAGAAATACGTTTTCATTATTGTTGGGGAAAGGGGGATTTAATTTATTTACGTTTTTCTTTTTTAAATAATATTATTCTAATAATTCTAAATTATTGCCATAAGGTTGTTTTGTAATCCTTTTTAATAAAGAGTATGCCTTACTCGCTTTCCAATATATTATCAAGGCCTATTCCCCCGCAGAAACTCCTTCAATCGTGCAACTTGCTGTTGTTGTGTATGCTGGGCATGCATCATCATACCATCATCCCATTATCACATACCACAACCCCAGCCAAGGGGAGTCCAGATCGGGAGGCACCAGGCCGAGGCACTCGGATTGGATTGGTCTCCTATATGTATAGTATGGCTTACTCCTGCTCCTGCTAAAACTCCAGCATCAGGTCCAACTCTGACTCCGATTGCGGCTCCTCCTTGGCTTTTTGACCGACTGAGGCCGAGGCGGCACTTGAATGCCTGGCATGAAATAAATCGCGTGTTTATTGTGCCAGGGGCGATGGCAGCGTTCGACGATCGCTTCAATGTTGCACATGGAAAATTGAACGCAATAGAATGCCACTAATCGATCGGTCCCGAAGAACTGGATGCTGGATGTTGGATGTTGGCTGTTGGATATACCACCGACTGGATGCCCCCGGAGCTACCAAGCAAAAAAGCTAAAAGTGGAAAAACAAAAACAACGGACAAAAATGAAATGTTTCAAGTTCAAATGCAAGGTGCGGACTAAACGAAGTGAGCTAAAGTAAAGTGAACTGAAGTGAAGTGAAGTAAAGTGAAGGAGTGCCGCAGCGACTGGCGCAAGCAATCTCGAAATAATCTAAACGATTTGGCGAAAATCACGTCGAGCATCGTCGGCATCGGCATCCACCTGTTACGTCGAGCTCATTTTTAATGCCCCCAAAACGATGGAGCCGCCAGGATTGGGCCTGAGATGGAGCTGGAAAGCTGGCAAGGAGGCGATCGAGTGGCCTGCCAACCGGCCAGCCGGCCGGCCGGCATCGAGAGCAAATTGCAAAAGCCGAATTCAACGAATGCCGGCGCACAGTTTGGCATAATAATGAAGGCGCAATCAACTGAACGGCTGGCCAGGGGCGGCTGTTGGTAGTGTGGCTGATGATCTTCCGAAATAAGCTAAAAAAGTCCTCCTACACAAGGCGAAAAGTGAAGGAAAATATGCTAGTTATTTTAGATATTTTGTAAAATTAATGATAAAATATTTTTGCAATTTGATTATGTAAAGTGGGAAGTCAATTTTTATAGGGAAATGAGAAAGACTTAGGCGACGAACTTGTTATCAAAAGACTTAAGCAACGAACTTGGTATAAAAAAGATTATAATAGTGATATTTATCTTTTTTTTTAAATCATTGAAAAAACCTAAAAAAAAAGGAAAAAAAAAAATAATACTGTAACTTTCTTACAGTGTAGATGAGAATGTTTAGCTAGCGTCCAGGTGAGGGTGCATTGCAGAGATTAAACATTATTTCTGTTTTCTTCGTTTTTGAACTTATCTAGCAATACAATGCATAATTTCTCGCTGCTGGCCTATGGACTGGAGTTCCCAACTCTTTCACCAACAACTGAGGCTGTGGGTCCCGGCTCGTTTTGGTGTTATTCTAAACGGCTTTTAGACAAAAGCATCAGCCAGCCGGGTTGCCCAAGTTCACCTCACGCTGCCAATCAATCAATCACGGCCAAGAAGCCTAGTCATCTGAGCATCTGCCGACTGCCGCCATCTACAGCGTCTACAGCGTTTGAGTTTGAGCCTGGTCAAGTGTAATGGTTTTGTCATGATGCAGCATTTAAGCTGCCGCCGTTGATTGATGCGGCAAGAAGTGGCCACAAGAGTGGCGAGTTAGGAATTTCACACCATCAGATCACCTCGGATGCGAGAAGATCTATGGAAATTTTCTGCCGTACACTTGTCAGTCATTTCTCTCCGTTAGTTGGTGAGACGAATTGGGTTTTCGAATGGGAAATTAAAGAAGAATTCTTGGCTGAAAGTACTTGATCCCAGCATTAAGATCCCAGCATAATCACATGTTCCACAAGTTCTACAGAGTTAAAAAAATGAATTTTTAAATAGATTGCTATATTCCTCAATTAAATCCATCTTTTAATAAGCACTTTCAATTAAATACCATACCTTTTATAAATAAGTCTTTAAATTAAAATTTGCATAACTTTTTCTTTCTGTTCTTATTATAGTTCCGTTTACCATGGCTCTTAAACGATTTATGTTCGTAATTAATGATTGATTCGCTTTTGATTTGCAAGCAATTTTCGAATGAGAAGAAAAACCATAAATACATGGACTGTTAAATCCCAATGCCACCTGCAAGGCGGCGTCGGCATATCAAATCAGCAAAATCAAAACAAAATTAATTGACGACAATTGTGGCGAGTGAGCGAAATGTGTGGCAACCACCAAAACCAGCAACAATCTCAGTGGCAGTCAAAACAGTAATTATAGCAACAACTAGTGCAACGGGCAATAGGCAAAACATCGAAAGACGTCAATTGTCTAATCAACAAATTTAGTCAATAAATCGTAATTAATTAACGTTCGATTGGCAGGCTAAAAGAGTTTTCAATTTTTGCATTCAAATCGACAGACTCCGCAGAAAAAATCCAAATCCAAATTCAAATTTGAAAAGGAACCACCGACCACACAAAAAACAAAAACACAAACATAAAACTGAAAAGTGAAAAAAAAAAAAAAAATCAAGCACAAAGGCAAATTCATATTCGTGCACTGCGACTAATTTTTATTGCCGGTAAAAATTGGCAACAGCTAATCAGTGAGGCATACGCCCCATGAATCCAACCGCAACAACAGTTTCAGTATCGAGGGGGGCCCAGAGAAACGGCCAGAAAAAAGGGGTGTGGCTGGCAGGTGGCCATGTTGTTGGCTATTTGAT